GGGGGTGAGGGTTGTTTTGGATAAATGCATAAGCCACACAAGTAAATGTAAGTTTATGTTAGATTTTGCTTCAGAGCAATAATCAGGCCGAGGCGGCGTGTTCTCACGCATATCAGAGCCGGGCACTGCTCAAGCAGGTATTGAACACGGATGGATGGATGGACGTTCTCACGCTTTGAGGCACTGCAGTTCACGACACGCGTTGATGTATTGGCTGCGCGTGTTACTATTGGAATCTGTTTGTTTTAGATGTAACGTCTTAAATGACTGGGCCTTCTCACACACCTTAGTAGTAACTAAACTAGTGATTGCCAATGTTTTGTAAAGTGATCCCTGGTCCTGCAGCTGGCCTGGCTGCTCCTAAGCTGTAGGAGACTAAGAGGATATGAGAGATGTAACCAAGGAAACATTACTTTCCCGTAGTCTGGAAAGTACAAAATTTCCATCATAGGCAGGCCAAAGAGAAGGTCCCGCTCTCCATAAACATAATCACACACGGGGATCATGGCGGAGTCTCGCTGCCAGACTGCAAATCTTGGATCCTGTCCTTGAACTTAGAAGCTGCCAGGCCCTGGACTTATGAGCTGTAAACGAGATCCTGTAAGTTAATTTCTCTTTCCATTTCTTAACCCCCTGCTCCCCTTGAGTCATGCTAGCTCTGTTGGAAGGGCCGCCCCTGCGGTTAGGTATCACTGACGCAACGAGGAGCAACACGGGACACGGCAAATGCCGCTTCGTTTAACCTTTGTTAACGTCCGACCGTAGGAGCGGATGCAGCTGAGTGTCGCCGCCGTGGAGCCGGCGTGGGAATGCTCTGGGCTTCTCCGGTAACTGCCGCCGCAATACAGAGCCAAAGGAGTGACAGGAGAGAATGTAGTGCTGGCATATGATTTCGGTCATTAATTCTTGGAGCAAAGCTAAAAAGCCAAGACCATTATGGGCACATAAACAATGGGAACATGCTGAGGTCGTATAATCAGTAAGAGAGGCAGAATTGTGGGCACGCCAGGTCGTTCCGGTCATGTGATCCCATCCTCAGCCACACCCTCAGCAGCCCTGAAGACAGCTCTTACCGAGTGGCAGTCACTAGGCTGTCTAAGAGACACTCTGTGCGGAACGACTAAAGAGGTTTGGAAGTGCAGCGGGCTGCAGGCACTGGTGCCTGATCGAGTCCGAATGGCAGCACTGCTGATCGAAATAACATCCCGTCTGTGTTACCTGACTGACTTCCTAGGCTGGTGATTGACGCCACGTCGAGCTTGTAACTTCACTGCTCACCCACTTTCCTTGACTGTAAATCCCGTTTCTTGTAAAATTAGTCACTCTCCACAGCTATGAAGACAAAATTCGGCATTTCATATATAACAACCCTGGGAAAGTACAGAAGGGCAAATAAAAGCCTTATGAAGTTGGAATCATCTGGTGCAGTGATTTTAACAGGGCAAGGGTCCATGTAGGCTGTGTGGACAAGGTGAGGTAATTCTTGGTGGGGAAAGGCTTTCTTTCTGCGCCCCCATACCCCTCACCCCCACCCTGGACGGTGCTAACCACACCCGGGATGTCCTCCACCTCACACATCGGGGTGCCTTGTGCAATGATCACATCAACATAAAGACTGTCAGCGCGATTATTATAAATTGTTGTCTGGGGTCGGTGAAGAGTCAGTGGGAAGGTGGAGGTGAAGGGAAACATTTTGATGTGTGCGTTTTGTAAGCAACAGAAAGATGAGCATCCATGCATGGGCTGACATACGAATGAGGGGGAAAGAAGGCGGAAGAGGGTGAAGCGATAATGTTAATGGCGAAGCCCATCCTGACAGATACTTCATGTACTACACCAAACACGCAGTTTGGATTCCTTTGACAGCTCAGTGCATTTCCTTAAAAGTATATTATGCAAAGATATGGTTCAACGCCTCCCATCGCAAGAGCTTTCTTCTGATGGTCAGATTCCACCCCCAGCACCTGCCAGCTCTTCCTGGCCTGTTGTTTATTCACACGCACCCCCCCCTGCCAGCGTGGCACTGATAGATAATTGCGTTGGCATGTGAAACGTAAATAATGGCCAATTTCCCCCCGCTTTTGCCGTGCGCTAACTGTTTCCTGCTGCTCCCGCTTACGTTCCCATTTTACCTGTTAATTGGACACATCTTCTGCTTTCGATTACTGTAATTGGGCTGCACTCATATGCCTCACAGTGAGCAAAAAGGACGGTATATTTGCACGTCCTATCAGCATCTGACTAAAGTAATGGAGGACACAAAACAGTCTCTTTTATCAAAGATTCCTCGTCCTCTACTAGAAGATTTAAAGGCTTTTAATTTGTTTAAAATGAATGCCTGGGCCTTTGTGCCATAGTAACGTACAACCTGAGATGACTGGTAGATAGAAAAGTGCATCCCCATGACATCACGGAACGTCGGCTGCATGAGACAGACTTACATTGATGTGTCGACTATACTGATAACTCAAATGTGAAATCCTTGATTCTGTGACCCGATATGCCGTCCTTGGACCTTATTTGGGCAGAGATGGAGGCCCTCCATTCGTCATGGGGGCTTCATGTTAATGCACGTTGCCAGTCGGTTGATGGCACAGGAAGGCTCACTCTCCTCACGCCTGGAA